CTGAAACAAATGTGTCAAGTGCAAGTATTTATATGCAAAACCTAACCAGAGTACAATTAAAAGCATTGAAAAAGTCTTAAATTTGATAATCTTAAATTAAGGCTTTAATAGCCTTGATTTATTATACAAAGTCTTGGATTTCATTACAGAGGTCTTAATTTATTTATTTATTTTACCTTTTTAAGATTAAGTTCATACATTGATTGTTTTAAAACATCTAATTCGTAATACTTTAATATGAGGAATAAAACACTACTTATTGTCAAAACTCATTCCTAGGAACTTTACCTTTTTTACAACTTGTATAGTTGCTCTATCTAAAAAAGCTCCTGATCTAAATGCTTAGATCTTAAAAAAACAAAAATGCATGCATACAGTTTTTAACTTGGAAAAATTAAAAACATTTAACTGACCAGTCATATATTTTATTTATACATATTTAAATTTGTCTCTTGATTGTGTACATATTTTCCCTTTATAACAAATACATAAATCATCTACATATAAACTACAAAATATATTATTCCCATTAACATTTACAATATTATTAATTTTAATACTAAATAGTGTTACTGATAGTATACTTTCTTGGGGCACTCCTGATTCTCATATATGCTATATATGCTCATATATTCAGATAATATAGTTTTCATACGCACACGAAAAACTCTATTGAATAATAAAAATTTGCAATAAAATTAGGCAAATTTCCTCAAACACCCATCTCGTGTAAATCTTTTAAAATACCATACCTCCTGGTAGTGTCAAAGGCCTTTTCCAGATAAAAAAAAAAAAAAAAACTGCTTGTATGTGTTCTTTTTTTAATAAAACCATCTCGTACAAAAGATTCTAATCGTATAAGATGGCAAAGAGTACTTTTCCCTCTTCTAAACCCACACTGATATTTATTAATCTTGTTTTTTTTTAAATCCACACCAATCGATCATTAATCATTCGTTCCATTGTTTTGCAAAGGCAACTTGTAAGTGCTGTTGGACGATAATTAGTTAAATGATCTTTTCCTGGTTTAGGTATTGGTATAATAGTAGCTTCTTTCTAAAAGGCTGGTATTTCTCCTAATTGGCAGATATTATTAGCCCGACAAGATGCAGAAATGCCATCTAAAAAGATGACCTGCTGTTTGTCCAGTCAGGGACATTGACAACATAAATATACAAATAAAAATGTTAACCCGGGGTTTGCGAATGTGAAACGTCTATTAATGAACACCAGGTATAGCATGAGCAGTGTGAAAGGAGATTACAGATAACACAGGATTCTGTTTATCCAGTGTTAGAATGACGCGGAGTTCATCATTTCCCGGCTAAAACCAGCCAATCAGCCTAGGCTAGTTTAAGCTGGATTTTTCAGCAGGGAGAACAGGGAATGTTTCACAGTATTTCCTATCATGTTTTTTCTTTTGGAGAAAGCCTGGTTTGTTTTATTTCGGCTGGAATGAAAGCAGTTTTTAATTTTTTAAAGGTCATTATTATTAGCCTTTATATAAGAATATAAAGTCATGCTGCAGTGGAAACAGAATGAATATTGTGTCTGATTCCATCATGAGCTTGGAGGACTGCATCCATACATCTCTGCAATGACTCAAAACACTGATTAATAAAGTCATCTGGAATGGCAAAGAAAGCGTTCCTGCAGGACTCCCAGAGCTCATCAAGAGTCTTTGTGTTCATCTTGAATGCCTCCTCCTTCATCTTACCCCAGACATGCTCAATAATGTTCATGTCTGGTGACTGGGCTGGCCGATCCTGGAGCAGCTTGACCTTTTTTGCTTTCAGGAGCTTTGATGTGGAGGCTAAAGTATGAGAAGGAGCGCTATCCTGCTGCAGAGTTTGCCCTCTCCTGTGGTTTGTAATGTAATGGGCAGCACATATGCCTCAATACCTCAGGCTGTTGATGTTGATGTCCACTCTGCAGATCTCTCGCACGCCCCCATACTGAATGTAACCCCAAACCATGATTTCTCCTTCACCAAACTTGACTGATTTCTACGAGAATCTTGGCTCTATGTGGGTTCCCGTAGGTCTTCTGCAGTATTTGTGATGATTGGGGTGCAGCTCACCAGATGATTCATCAGAAAAATCCACCTTATGTCGCTTTTCCAATTGATCCACTAGAAGTCAAGTTATTTTTTGAAGTTAAGTAATTTGTTGCTCTACAACTGGGATTGACGACAAGACTTTTGTCCGGTAGTGTATTGTAAGCTGAGAAAATATTATATATTCTTCTATTATATATTCCTTCTATGCTAATGAAGGACTACTGAGACATTCCAAGCATGGGATGGGTCCTCCTGGTGAGGCAGAGTTCCTCACAGCTCCGATACACATCTCTGCCATTTGCTTACAGTAACCATGTGCTTTTCACATATAAAACAAATAACAAATAAAACAAATAAGACTTTCTCCAGAAGAAAAAATATTATCAGACATACTGTGAACATTTCCTTGCTCTGTTAAACATCATTTGGGAAATATTTAAAAAAGAAAAAAAATTCAAAGGGGGGATAATAATTCTAGACTTACAGCATGAACACATAAATCTTTAAATATTAATCTAGATTGAGCTCTGAGATTGTTAAATGATGAAATAGCAAAATAGGAAGCAGCAGAATGCACACTGGAGGTTTAATCTTCCTAGTTAATGCGGTAAAAAAAGCAGAGGAAGTGTTTGTGTAATGTATACGTGCAAACATACACACATATACCAATGAAAAAGTGGATTTTCCAGCACAAGCAGTGAGAGCTGAAACTGGGGCAAACTTCAACTAGAGCAGAGCGAGTTCTCTTGGGGAACGGGAAAGTGTGTGAACCCACACACACACACACACACACAAAAGAAAGAAACACGGCCGACGGGACTGCATGAGTGTTTCGTCATAAACTGCAAGGGAGAGACACTGCATGCTAGACTGATGATTTATTTCAAAGATTTATTCCAGTTAAAGCTTAATGCTGCTGTTTTATATACAATCATTTACACTTGGGGTTTAGCAAGATTTTCAAGTGGTTTTCACAATTGCACAAGGCAGATTTGTATATCTGAATGTTTATTAATTTATTACAGAATTTAAAATGTTCAAGGTAGTTTGCTATTTAGACTGATCAAGATTAATTGTATTTGCATGTTCATTTAGGTAATGGTCATTATCAGGTTTTACTGTGTACTATATTGTACATTTATTCAAAACTGCATACATTTAATAGGGCTCTATTTTGACGGTCCATGCGCAAATCGCAAAGCAGGGCGCAAAAGCTTTCAGGGCATGTCAGAACACATTTTCGCTAATTTAAGGACGGGAAAATCCGCTTTGCGCCGTGGCGCATGGTCTAAAAGGGTTGAGTTTATTCTCTTAATGAGTTATAGGTGTGTTTTGAGAATAAACCAATCAGAGTCTCATCTCCCATTCCCTTTAAGAGCTGGTTGCGTCGCGCTATAAGCGCATTTGCTATTTACATGACGTAAAGTAAGTGGAAGTGGAAAAACTGAGCATTTCACAAGCAAACAGTTAACAGTATTTTTTTTTTTTAAAGAAAACAGTATAACAGAGCATCTACTGATCGAGAATGAGAGATAAATGATCTACTTTCACTTTTGCTATCGTGGATATTTAAACGCATTTTTTCAGCACAGAGATAATTAAGATGGTTTATTTATGTTTACTGAAGTACAAATGTTTATTTGAAAAGGCCAATTTATCTTTATTAACTTTACATGTGTGTTTATTTTCAAAGAGTAGAATTTTATGTGTTCCCCAGTTTGTACATGGGCTACCAGCAGCTGAGATTTCAGTGTTCATTTTTTTTTTACAATACATTAGAAACTAGTGCACTTTTCTTGGCTTTTAAATAAAACAAAATGAGTATTGCAATAAATAGTTTTTATTTTTTCTCTTTAACCTCTTACTGTTCCTATTGCCTATACAAAAAACAAAACAAAAAAAAATACGTGTCAAGCCATGAGAACCAAACCAACCGAAAACAGTGTTAAAAAACCGAGGTATGTATTGAACCATGGGCTAACTGTATTGTTGCATCCCTACTTATTACTCAGACAGAATTAAACTAAATACTATCGAAATATATATAGGTGAGGACATGCTGCCATTGTCTCCCAAATTGTCCCACAACGACATTTATATAGTGTAGATTAGTGGGCAATGATTTATTTTATAATCATTTGACAAAAAGATTTTTCAAGTAACTAAATAGGTACTTTCCCTAGTAATGAGCTACCTTTATAATTATGTAACTCAGTTACTATTAACTTTAACTAATTACTCTTTTAAAGCAACATGCACAACACTGAAAATAATTACTAATAATAAATACGAATAATAATAATTCAGATGTAAATTCAGAACTTTAGATGGAAACATTAATGAGAAATCTCAAAAAAGAGAGAGAAAAATTGTAAACATTTTAAAAATAAAGATTAAGTAATTTAAGAAAAGGTCGAAGCAGTAGGTAGTGCTGTCGCCTCACAGCAAGAAGGTCGCTGGTTCGATCCTCGGTTCGGTTGGCGTTTCTGTGTGGAGTTTGCATGTTGTCCCTGCCTTCGCGTGGGTTTCCTCTGGGTGCTCCGGTTTCCCCCACAGTCCAAAGACATGCGGTACAGGTGAATTGGGTAGGCTAACTTGTCCTCCATAGTGTATGATTGTGTGTGTGAATGTGTGTGTGGATGGGTTGCGGCTTGAAGAGCATCCGATGCCTAAAAACTTGCTGGATAAGTTGGCGATTCATTCCGCTGTGGCGACCCCGGATTAATAAAGGGACTAAGCCGACAAGAAAATGAATGAATGAATAATTTAAGGAAAGTAATGTAAATAGAAGAAAATTTTAGAAGAAAAAGGACCAATTGTAAAATGCCAACTTTTAAAAGTGTAAAAAAAATTATTATATGATATTTTGTTCATCTTTAAAAAAATAGTTTTACAAGAATAGATTTTTTTAATGATTTTTTAAAATATTTTCCTCCACAGGTGTGTATATGTGTTTGTGTGTGTGTGTGTGTGTGTGTGTGTTTCCCTCATTAGTGTTTAACTCACGGAGCCTGAAAGAGGTAGACTCTCCAGTCAGCGGTGCGGAGGTAAAAGACGTTTGGCCGTTTGCTGTAGTCTGTGGCTCTGATGGCCAGAGAATGATGGATGGACACAGCGTTTTTCAAATCCTCATCAGATAACTGCTTATCCGGCCGATACTCGCCCTGCAATAACAATCAGACAGTTATTATTTAATAAATGCATCAGAGTAACTCATTGCTCCTTACTGATCATATTATCATTCTCCTCATGATATCACACTGTGAAAATGCAACAGAAGTAAATAAATGCAGCAAAACTTATCTTATATTTACTTAATATGCTATAATAAATTCATTTTTGTCAATAAAGAAATAATATTCATCACAGCCTTGTAACGTTACTGTCCTGAAGTCAGCAGAAACACCACAAACTGGCTTCATTGTGGCAAACAACTGTATAGATAATCAAAATCACACACATAATAGAGTTGAAGTCAGAATTATTAGCCCTCCTGAATTATTATTAGCCCACCTGAATTATTATTAGCCCACCTGAATTATTATTAGCCCTCCTAAATTATTATTAGCCCTCCTGAATTATTATTAGCCCTCCTGAATTATTATTAGCCCACCTGAATTATTATTAGCCCTCCTGAATTATTATTAGCCCTCCTAAATTATTATTAGCCCTCCTGAATTATTATTAGCCCTCCTGAATTATTATTAGCCCTCCTGAATTATTTTAGCCCTCCTGAATTATTATTAGCCCACCTGAATTATTTTAGCCCTCCTGAATTATTATTAGCACTCCTGAATTATTATTAGCCCTATTTAATTATTATTAGCCCACCTGAATTATTATTAGCCCTATTTAATTATTATTAGCCCACCTGAATTATTATTAGCCCACCTGAATTATTATTAGCCCTATTGAATTATTATTAGCCCACCTGAATTATTATTAGCCCTCTTGAATTATTATTAGCCCTCTTGAATTATTATTAGCCCTCTTGAATTATTATTAGCCCTCCTGAATTATTATTAGCCCTCCTGAATTATTATTAGCCCTCCTGAATTATTATTAGCCCTCCTGAATTATTATTAGCCCACCTGAATTATTATTAGCCCTCTTGAATTATTATTAGCCCTCCTGAATTATTATTAGCCCTCTTAAATTATTATTAGCCCTCCTGAATTATTATTAGCCCTCTTGAATTATTATTAGCCCTCCTAAATTATTATTAGCCCTCCTGAATTATTATTAGCCCTCCTGAATTATTATTAGCCCTCCTGAATTATTTTAGCCCTCCTGAATTATTATTAGCCCACCTGAATTATTTTAGCCCTCCTGAATTATTATTAGCACTCCTGAATTATTATTAGCCCTATTTAATTATTATTAGCCCACCTGAATTATTATTAGCCCTATTTAATTATTATTAGCCCACCTGAATTATTATTAGCCCACCTGAATTATTATTAGCCCTATTGAATTATTATTAGCCCACCTGAATTATTATTAGCCCTCTTGAATTATTATTAGCCCTCTTGAATTATTATTAGCCCTCTTGAATTATTATTAGCCCTCCTGAATTATTATTAGCCCTCCTGAATTATTATTAGCCCTCCTGAATTATTATTAGCCCTCCTGAATTATTATTAGCCCACCTGAATTATTATTAGCCCTCTTGAATTATTATTAGCCCTCCTGAATTATTATTAGCCCTCTTAAATTATTATTAGCCCTCCTGAATTATTATTAGCCCTCTTGAATTATTATTAGCCCTCCTGAATTATTATTAGCCCTCTTGAATTATTATTAGCCCTCCTGAATTATTATTAGCCCACCTGAATTATTATTAGCCCTCCTGAATTATTATTAGCCCACCTGAATTATTATTAGCCCTCCTGAATTATTATTAGCCCTCCTGAATTATTATTAGCCCTCCTGAATTATTATTAGCCCTCCTGAATTATTATTAGCCCTCCAGAATTATTAGCTTCACCTGTAAATTTTCCCCAGTTCAAGATGGCAGCTTCTCATATGGAAAATGAAGTCACATGCATTGCAGAGGTGTGAGCTTCTCACAGACTTCAACAGTGTGTAATATCTTGATGGTTCTGTGCGTCTCGGCTACCAAACCTGAGCTTTAATTTGTATTTTCTATCGAATTGAAGTCAGGTGACTTTTGAGAGTTTCCTTGGCTTTATTTTGGATCATTGTCTTGCTGAAATGTCCACTCTGGTTTCATCTTCATCCTCCTGCTAATGCAGATGTTGGACTGAAGCAGCTGATATCCGTTTTCACTGAGGAGGGGGAGAGAAGAACTACTTCTGAGAGATTACAGCTGCTGTCTGGGCTTTCACTGCTGAACTGCACCTTCCTTTCTTCATCTGTTCAATACCTTTTTCCAGCATGATTTAATTCTATCACACATAACTTCATTTGTGAATTAATTAGATGTGTTTCTTTGCATACATGGATTTCTTTGGTTGTTTTTAACATCTGGTGAAAATTTTAAGTCAGCAGCGCCTTTAGAAATCCGCTTGTTAAGTGTTGACGTGTTGGTGACGTATGTAATACTGTTTCTGGGTCCAAGCCGCCATTAATTTGAGTGGAGAAATCATTCGTTTATGATCACGTTTTATTCATATCACACATTAAAGTTACTTTTATATAAAATCATAGTGTACACAACCATCTCTGGGCTTGCTGCATAACAAATACCAATATTTTAACAATTTATAAAAAAATTAATCACTTTCTTGCCATCGGATATTAGGCATGGACATATATATTGCCATCGTGATGTTCGAAAGCCTTAAATTGCTTTGTAAACGTTTATTATTACCATTTCATGAGTCTCCCCATTCAGTTGAATAGAGCGCTTGGAGACGTGCTCAGTATTTATTTTCCAGCTGTATGTAATGAAATGTTTCAATAGTAAACTAAAAACAACAATGACTTGTCAACAAAAGCCTAAAACAGCATATATTTATTTAAAAAGGAGAGAAAGGAAGGATGGGTTGAATGAAACAAGAGAGAAAGAAAAGACAAAGCAGCAAACTCACTTTCTGCAGGTAAAGGATGAGTCCCTTAAGAACAGCGTAGAACGTTTTCCAGCCTCTTTTCCCACGAGGTGCTGAAATTCACATGAAAAAAAAAACAATCAAACAGAAAAGTAAACAGACTTTTTTTATGCAAGAATATGGATCAAATATGTTTTTACACTATTGCAGACTTACAGCGTGTGTTAATTACACGTGACACAGCTAGAATCCAGCGACAAGCAATTGGCACCAAACATGACATGACAGAAACATTTAAATACCAGCCATTTTTTTAAATATCAGCCACTGCACTCCCAATGAAATGCTAAGCGTTGTGATCTTATTAATAAATATTAAAGCTCTTAAACATTATTAATATTAGGGGTGTCAAAATTAATTGTTTCTTCGGTGCACCGCAATGCAGACGCGGACAATTCGGTATCGGTTCAGTAACAATCATAACTGGTTATGTACTGACGTCATTTATCTCATATGCGCTCTGTCGCGAGGAGGGCGAGCGCAGGTATTTACAACACTCCAGGCGCCAACTACTTTTTAAACTGCACAATTTCACTGCGCGTGTGTTTTGTGGACAGACTTTCCCTGACACTTACAGCAGAAGCCCCTATTTCTCTGTGATTGAGGGAATGAAAGTGAACTCCGATTCTGGATAAAATTGGATAAACTAAAGTGGTCGTAGTGTATGTGTGTGAATGAGAGTGTATGGGTGTTTCGCAATGTTGAGTTGCGGCTGGAAGGGCATCTGCTGTGTAAAACATATGCTGGATAACTTGGCGGTTCATTCCGCTGTGGCGACCCCTGATGAATAAAAGACTTAGCCAGGGCTTAATTTGTGCTGGAAAAAGCCGGATCCGGAATCTCTGAAATCTGATCCGGCACCTCATTTTACCGATCCCCCTCCTCAACCGCATTCCTCCCCCGTCCGCTGTTGACTTTCACTTTCTTCCGTCACTCCCTAACCCTCTTCATTTAGGGAGACACCCCTGCCCTGCTCACTTTAGTCCACGACACCATTTCATTCTCGGGTAACATGCCGGATCCTTCACCCTGATCTGTTCCAGAACCTCGCAATTCACAAATTAAGCACTGGACAAAGCTGAAGAAAAATGAATGAACAAAACTATATTTTGGCGAGGCAGTGGTGCAGTAGGTAGTGCTGTCGCCTCACAGCAAGAAGGTCGCTGGTTCGAACCTCGGCTCAGTTGGGGTTTCTGTGTGGAGTTTGCATGTTCTCCCTGCCTTTGCGTGGGTTTCCTTCGGGTGCTCCGGTTTCCCCCACAGTCCAAAGACATGTGGTACAGGTGAATTGAGTAGGCTAAAATGTCCATAGTGTATGAGTGTGTGTGTGAATGTGTGTGTGGATGTTTCCCAGAGATGGGTTGCAGCTGGAAGGGCATCCGCTGCGTAAAAACTTGCTGGATAAGTTGGCGGTTCATTCCGCTGTGGTGACCCCGGAATAATAAAGGGACTAAGCCGACAAGAAAATGAATGAATGAAAACTATATTTTCTGAGATTTAAAGATGTGCTTGTGTTGCACATCATAGAGAAAGCAGAACTGCTAAATCTGCTCGTTTTCACTGTAAATGTAAATTCTGTCATCATTTTCTCATCCTCTACTTCTTCCTTACACTATGAGTTTCTTTCTTCCGTTGAAAACAAAATAGGATATTCTGAAGAATGCTATAAAAAAACAGCCATTGACTTCCAGAGTATTTCTAATGTAAATTTTTCCAAGCAGTCTTCCAAATATATTACTGCGTGTTCAACAGAAAAACAAAACTAAATTGAGAACCACTTAAATTGAGGAAACTTGCATTTTTGGATGACCTATAAACTTTTCTTATACACGAGTTCTGTCTGGTTCTCGAATCTGATTGGCTGATAGCCGTGCAATATTTTGCCAGTAACATCACACAAAGGCCTCTTCACCCTTCACCTTTGTGTATTACTCCGCCCACATACAGTCAGCAACAAGCAGAGAGATACTACCGTTTGAAAAATATGACTGCTGTTAGACAACAAAATGTACTTTTGAGGCTTTTTTAGTGCAGAATGTAGTTGTTTTGATTGGAAGTATGCATTTATTTATAAGAATAGTGTCTATTTTAAAATATTTACAATTTCTAAGAGAGCTCGTCAGCGGCCATTAGCATGCCATACAGTATGAATGTCAGTAGTACGAATAGAATTGGGAATGTACTACATACACCACTCTCATCGGTTGCATTGCTTCACTCCCATTCATGAATTTTCTTACAATGCATCATGGGATAGCACAGCGTCCATTACATGCACACTACAACATCTCACCAGAAGTAGTAGCTTCTCAATGGTTAGCACGATCACCTCACTGCAGGAAGTTCACTAGTTCAAGCCCCGGCTAGATCAGTTGGCATTTCAGTGGGGAGTTTGCATGTTCTCCCTATGTTGGCGTGGGTTTCCTCTAGAGGGGAAACCCCTATAGGGGAATTTCATAAGCTAAAATTGACCGTACTGTATGAGCGTGAATGAGTGCGTATGGGTGTTTCCCAGTAATGGGTTGCAGCTGGAAGGGCATCAGCTGTGTAAAACATATGCTAGATAAGGTGGCGGTTCATTCCACTGTGGCAACCCTAGATTAATAAAGGGACTAAGCAGAAAATAAAATGAATGAATGAATAAAATTGGCCGTAGTGTATAGGAGTGTGTGAATGAGAGTGTGAATGGCTGTTTCCCAATTCTGGGTTGTGGCTGGAAGGGCATCCGCTGCGTAAAACATGTGCTGGAATATTTGGCAGTTCATTCCGCTGTAGCAGCCCCTGTTGAATAATGGACTAAGCCAAAGGAAAATGAATGAATGAGTGAATCTCATCCAAATGACTGCACCTTCTGGCTGTGAGGCGACAGGTGCTAAACACTGAGGAAGAGGCTGAATTTCAACTATGAATTTGTGCCCTAACTTTTTCCACATGACTGCATTTTTCAAAATACATTCTCAAAATATCAGCTTATCATGAGTGAAAGTATCAGATCCTCTTTTGCACTCACTTCTCTTCCCGTCACAGTCAGCGTGGACCTTCCTCACCAGGAAACCCATCTTGTAAAGCAGAGCTCCAGAAGCAGGAACGAATCCGCTGCTCATCTGCTTCACTCCTCTGCTGTTCGTCTCTCCTCGCTGCTCCCCGAGCTCCGAAAACGACTTGCGCAACTCTTCCTCATCGCTGACGGCACACAGAAAAGCAGAAAAGAAAGCTCAAGCATATGGGAATTGAGGAATATGAAAGAGGAACAACACAAGAACAAAACTCATATAGGAACAAGAACTCAGACAGCTGTGCTGGTGATGATCTCTGATTATTATATACAGTAGCATTTGAGCAAATCCAGCGTTATGGATATGAAAACAACCATAAATTCATATAGACTGTATGGGCTCTATTTTGACGGTCCATGCACAGAGCGCAAAACGCAGGGCGCAAACGTTTTCAGAGTGCGTCAGAACGCATTTTTGCTAATTTACGGACGGGAAAACCTGCTTTGCGCCAAGGCGCATGGGCTAAAAGGGTTGAGTTTATTTTCTTAATGAGTTATAGGTGTGTTTTGAGAATAAACCATTTAGAGTCTCATCTCCTATTCCCTTTAAGACCCAGCTGCGTCGCGCCAAGAGCGCATTCGCTATTTACAGGACGCAAAGTAAGTCTAAGTGGAAAAAATTAGCATTTCACAAGCAAACAGTTAACAGTTGACAGTTTTTTTTAACAGAAAACTGTTAAACAGAGCATCTACTGCGTGAGAATGAGATATAATGGATCTACTTTCACTTTCGCTCTTGGATAGGGAAACCTTTACGCACAGACATTAATTAGCCTATAAATAATTAATTTAGTTTGTTAAGCGCAAATATTCATTTCAAAACTATTTCTAAATTCAGTTCTAATTTCCAGCAAACGAATAAATGAACAATAATAACAAAATGAGCTCAAAAACCTGAGTTATATCCTAAAACACATGCTGTGCCCCATATGGTCTAAAACCTGACAGGTGGACAAATCTAAGCTTGTTTTTAATAAAACAAATATAAATATGAATATAATAAATAATACTGCTAATAATAATAACATTATACAAAAGCAAATTGTTATGAATGAACTGAAAAAGCCTCCCGAGATGAAGAAGGCAAAAAAGCAGTGATTTTTCATATTTATGTAGGCTAGAAAATAATATGTTTTGTAATATTTTAATCCTTTATATTTATATCCTATATATATTCTTATTATATCCTATATATATCCTTAATATTTACATTTTTTCATATGTAAAGATATTTGCCTATTGCTCTCTTGTGTGTATTAAGCAGTGTGTAAGCGAGGCGCAACTCTGCGCTGGAGTTTAGACCGGGTTTATTTTGGTCTAATAAAAAATCTATTATAGTTTCTCAAAATAGCAACGCGCCAGCGGTCTGCCTCAGAATGCCTCCCTTTTTTAGACCAGAACGCCTATGAGCGCACATATGAGCGCTAATGCATTTGCTATTTAAACAGCGTAGCGCAACGCCTCAAAACGACTCTTGCGCCAAGCTTAAACTACCAAAATTCTACTGCGTCACGCCTTGCGCCACACTGCGCCAGGTGTATGATAGGGCCCTATATGTTAACATTACATTGAAACATTATATCGCTTATATTTTTGTGGGTCCAGAAAAATATTAATCTTTAAGTGTATTCGTATAAAATCTGTTTTATTTATATTGTGCCATAGATATATACACTAGATATCGCATAGGGACCCTGAGCATGCGTCAATGGCGCCGCCATATTGGTACAGAGCTCCCAGGACAAATGTCATTCAACCGCACTAGTCAAGACAGTGTTATTACGTGAAGATGCTGGACTTTAGCGCTGTCTACGGGTGTAGTAACAAGCAAAAAAGAAAACAAAGCACAAAGGCAGAACATTTCATAGGTAAGATTAAGTTTTCGTTTTTGTATGTTGTGAACTTTTGTGGTAAACAGGTAACGTTATTGAGTCACTTACTGCATTCACTATAAGGCAAAGCAGCACCAACTCGCACTAAATATTCGGCTTATGCTAGTTTTGTTGAATAAAATCAGCAAACAATGCAAAAGAAATATGACAACGAGACGCTGCGCTGCCAGAAACTTGTATTATTGTTAGCTAGTGAACAAGTCGTTCATAACAGAGATTCATTCACAAATGTATCGCTCCTTCATCAGTATGAGAAGTGAAAGCAGGAGAGGAGGTGTGTTTCAGGACATGGATTAGATCAAATTTAACAGGGTGGATAGTACATTTCTGTACACACAAACACAATCAGGAATGCCTGTGTGATCACTGATCCATCAATGTAGAAAAGTGATTTAAAATTATTTGTTAATTAAGTTTCATATATAAAGAAATGCATACTAACCTCCGGGAAAACTCCCGATCATAGATATATGTGTATATGTGTATATCTCTGGCTCTGGATGGCCACTGCAGCTTGGTCCCGCATTCATTTCAAAGGAGCGCTGCCCTGTACTAACATGGCGGCTCTATTGACGCATTCCTTCTAATAGATAACAACAGGGTAGGTGACATCTAATATATATATATATATATATATATATATATATATATATATATATATATATATATATATATATATATATTGTGCAATGCGTATTTATAATGTTTATTTTGGATAGAATATATTTTAAAAAGGGGAAAAACAATAAATCGCTGTATGAATGCTGTAATGTTTAAATAATTTTCCATTAAAAACGCGGGAAGGTCATGTGACCATCAGGAAGAACGCAGCATCTCATTTCTCACAGGACGCGTTCTCTGTTCTCACGGTCTACCGAGTTCATTTTTCCGAAGACACCTGGGGTCCGTTTTTTCGTACGTGGATTGCTCAGTTAGCTGGATTTGGATATTGACGATTTGACACGATCCAGGATCGTTTCGTTCTTCAAAGCTGATCCGAGAGTTGTTGTCATAGCAACAGTTCTGCTAGCTCAAACCTGATCGGGAGCAGGTTCAATTCAAATAAACAGGATTAGATCGGCTCAGTTCAAGCAAAGATAATAGAGAAAGCATGTACCGAATTCTGATATTTTCTTACAGTAGTAGTTATATACACTTAGAAAAATAGTTAATATTTTTAATTATATATACATAGTTATAGTTATTAATAAAATAAATAAAGTTATATATAGGCCTATATTAATAAAACTTATGCCATCTGCACCCCCGAAATTAAAGTACAAAGACTGCCACCTGGTGGTGCAAAGAGAAAACTTCTTGATATGAACTTTTTAGATCGCTTACAATTTGTGTATGATAATAATAATGCAGAATATGTGACTTTTAAAAAAAAAAAAAAGAAATACATTAATGCAGTCATGAACATGTTTTGATAGTTAATATGCCAGTGATTATGCTTTACAAAAGTTGCAGATGCCTTTACCAATATCAAAATGCTTTTGTAAACATCCAGTTATTCCATACAGCGATTAAAAAAACGGCTACTATAATAAAGAAAATCTTTTCTAAATGTAGAACTAAATACACTGATTTGCATTGAAATACATGATGAATACTCTTGACACATGAAAGTGTAAAGCCTGCCGCTCATAAAAAAATGTGGAAGGTTATTGCGTGTCATATTTAACAAACCGTTTTCTGCTAATTTGATGTATTTTGCTCACATGGATAATTGAATATTAATCAGATGATGTCATTACGCTGATGTGCTGTCAGCCAATCATTGCATTGCTGATCATGATTTGGAGGATCGATAGATCTGTCCTTCACAACACACGCAGCGATCTCAGATCAGTTTATTCAGACAGTCTAATCTGATTCACGGACTTGTTTGAAGAACCAAATTAGTGAGAGATCAGTTATCAAGATTAAAAGATCCAGGATCTGCCAAATCATCTTAGATCATTTAAGCGAGGTACGAAGAACGGACCCCTGGCAAGACCAGTCTCCACAAGAACAAGTCCATTCTGCGTTCTTGGAATTGAGAAACAGTGTTAATCTGAGAATCGAACTGAAAACAAACAGGAAGTGCATTTTCAGATTTAAATATAAGATTACAAAGGCAAACTATTTTTATTTCTTAATAAAATGCACAGATGAATTCTTCACCTCAAAACCATCAGTGTGAGCTCACAAAATCAATAGGGCTAGTTTTGATTTAATTTGTGCTTTAAAAGCTCTTCTAATGTTTGTTAGTGTGTGTGTGTGTGTGTGTGTGTGTATACGGTCTCTCGCTCAGAGTCAGTGTGATATTTTGAGCTGGTCTCGCTGTGCTTCCTGCCTGGAGTGAATAAAAGTCGGTTTTCCTCTTCACTTCTTTCCTGCCGATCATAAAACCCCCAGAGCGAAGCAGACGGTATCGATCCAGAGCGTGTTGAAGTAAAGTGCTCTTCCCAGCGGGTTTCACATTCACATCTGCCACCACAAACCAAACCACAGACGCACTCTTATAGGACAAACACACACACAAACCACAGACGCGCTCTTTCAGGACAAACACACACAAACCACAAATGCACTCTTTCAGGACAAACACATACACACACACACACACTTTTTTTTTCTTTTTTGTAATACTTGTGTCATACCCATGTCATTATACAGATTTTTGTCCTGATATGTCACAAAAACACGTATACACACAAACACACCACAAGATGCTCTTTTTGATTAAAAAAACAGATTTTTTTTGTATTTACATGTTGAAGATCCCAAATGATGTTCAACAGAGCGAGGAAATTTTCACAGTGTTTTCTATAATATTTTTTCTTCTGGAGAGAGTCTTATTTGTTATATTTAGGCTAGACTAAAAGCAGTTTTTAAATATTTTACACCCATTTTAAGGTAATATTATTAGCCCCCTGCAGCAATATTAGTTTTGGATTGTCTACAGAACGGAGCACTGTTATACAATGACTTGCCTACATACACTATCTTCACCTGATTAACCTAGTTAAGCCTTTAAATGTCACTTTAAGCTGTATAGAAGTGTCAGGAAAAATATCTAGTCAAATATTATTTACTGTCATCCTGGCAAAGATAAAATAAATCAGTTATTAGAGATGAGTCAAAACTTTTCTGTTTAGAAATGTTGAAAAAAGTCTCTTCATTAAACAGAATTCAGGGGGCTAATAATTCAGGGGGGCTGATATTTCAGACTTCATCTGTATATGCACAGAAATCTTGTTAGCTAAAAGAAATGTGAATTCTGAAAATCATCATGTTGTTGACTTGCATGCACTTTTGATTCAAAGTCAGATGTCCTAATAGAAGACAGAACCCAAAGTGCATGAAAGACAGCAGCATGACTCTTCATGATACACACTTCTTTCAACAAACAAGTTTCTGTGTATGCTGTTGCAAAATCAGTTCTTGAAAATGCATCTCCATTCCTCGACTT